TGGCGAATTTTGAAAAAACCTGTACGTTTTCGCGAGTATTTCATACTTTTTCCAATATCGAAGCAATATTTTCTATGAAATATTACCATATTCGGAATCAGCGCGAAAAACTGCATCGAATGGTGTAGACTCATCTAGTTTCGGTCGCTTGATTCTAAATTCCAGAAATTTCTTAGTTTTTGAGATTCACAGAAACAATTCCGTGCTGAAAATTTGCGTTTCAAGATAAAGTAACGTGAACGACTCAAAACATGTTTCCTATAGGTTTTCGACAATGCTCTTTTCAGTGGCGTCGTTTCTAAATATTGAGAAAGTTTTTTGAGGGGTTTTCCAGAGACCGGATCTCTGGAAAACCCATTAGAAAACTTTTTCAAAACCCAACTCTCATGCCATTAGAAAGAGGATCATGGAAAACCTACAAAAAATGGTTCATGAAATTCTAGTCCACTCATAAAGCTAAAGTCCGCCTGGTGTAGCAAAAAATACCCACTGTGGTACAGAGGTCTGACGGACATACAGACATATAGTCACTAATGAGTATGACGGACGTACATGCATCGAGTCATGTGGTAGTATGACGGAGATATATATATTCTAGTAAGTAGTCTCTGCTAACATTGAGGTTAGACTCAATGAGATAATCTTTGCTAACACTGTGGTTAGACTTAAGTAAATGATTTGCAGGATTAGGCTAATTTTTATCAAATTTATTGCCACGTGTTTCGGTCATAGGCCTTTTTCAAAATAGACCTAATGCATAAATCAAGTTAAAAATAGAATTCAAAAATTAGAACAAAATTAAGTTACTTACAAATTAAACGAGCGGAGAACACAGTATAGAAGATGAAAGAATGCAGGTTGGAGTGCCTATACAACTGACTTAGGAATGAAAAAGGAGCTCCTATTTATATAAAAAGTAGGGAGAAAGAACGGAGTGAAAAATGTTATACATTTTCTATAGCTAACAAAAATAAGAAAAAGAATAATACATTGGCCAGAAAAAGCTAACAAATATAGATGCTGTTCACAAGTAGTGTAAAGGAGAAATAAAAAACGAAACGCTCATGCATTATGATTGTATAAACACATTGACTGTTTGACAGTGGTTCTTTGAAAGTTATGAATAATATTTCGTAATAAAATCAATAAATTTCCATAGTTTTCAATAATTTTTAATAGATAACAAGGTAAGCATAACATAGGTATAATACAGATAAACCATAGAATTAACTAAAATAAAATAAACATAGCATTAAGATAACAGTATAGAAAAATATTAAAATATTACAGAAAATATAGCAATAACACCAGATAATAACAATACTAATAATGACAAGTAATAGTGGATAATAACAAACAATAAATAATAAACAATACAAATTAATACTAACGTAGTTTTACTGTTTATCAATATTATTCCATATATTCCAATTATTTCACCAGCATTATAATTATAAATTATAAAATATATTATAAAGTATTATATTACAAGGTAAATAATTAGAATTTGTTAGGGGTTAATAGATATTGATACAGAGACAGACATACACAGACAAACAGACAGCATATGGAGTCGAAATAGATTTGGCTGAAGATACTCTGCAGACAAGTTGAAGAAAAATCTTTTTGGCAAGTTACTTGGTAGCATAAGGACATGACTAATTCGAAAATATCTCCTCTCAGCTCAGCTCTTTTCCATTACCGAGATAAGAGGCATTATTTCCTAAAAACTGGCTCTTATTTATTGCTTCAAAGGCAAGATGTTTTGGTGAAATTGATTATTTAGGCAGCTGTAGCTTTGTACTTAGATTCTCTGGCAGTTGTAATTTTATAAAAACGTCTTCAGTGGGCGGCGAGAGCGCGCAAATTTTCCAAATTTTGGACTTTTTCCGTTTTAAAAGTTTTTTGTAAACCAAAAATGTTTCAAGAAATGAGAAGAGAATGTTTTCAAAAAGTGTTTTTAGCGGAAAATAAAACTATTATCCGTTCTAAAAATTATTTTGTAAGTCCAGAATATTTCGAGAAATTATGTTGATGTGTGTGTCAGAAAAAATGCCAACTTTTTCTTGTATAGTTTATTATATCTTCAAGATATAGTTGGTATGACAGAAAAATAGTGGGTATAACAAAAAATCACACGACCGGTTTCGAATGCTTTTTCAAGTGTGAAAATGATAATGATGTACAATAAACATGCGTTTATATATGTATGATAGAGAGTGAATATAATACTAAAATAAAATAAAGGTGCAATGACGTATATAGCTAAGTTAAAATAACAGAGAGAAGTGAAATAGATTTTTCTCTTTTAAGAGAGAAATAAAAATAGAATAAATAAAAACAGAAAAGAGGAATAGTTCCTCTTTGACTGATAGTTTGTTTCATTCTCTCGTCTGTCTGACAAAAAACAAGATGTATATCAAAGACCAGGGGTCAACAACAAAATAGTCAAGATGTGCATGGAAAAATGAAGAGAGTGAAAAGTTAAATAAAACTAAAACTAAGAACTGTGCGGCTTGTCCACGTAACTCCGCTGGCAGAGATGTCATAGCGTTACTTTTTTTGCTCATTTTATTTTGAGCACAGTTCCGTTACGAAACGTTCTAGAGAGCTCGGGAACATCTCAAATTGAAGAAAAAATTGTTTTAAAGATTTTGAGATGCATCCGTCACCTGAAAAATGTTTTCTTAAGAATCTACATGCAAAATGGGGAGACCTACTTTTTACGAAAAAAAAACAGAAATGTAGCTCTCCACATTTTCATCATAGCTTTTCGAAGGAACACTTTCCAGGAGGCGGACAAATCTTGAAATCTTTAAAACATTTTTTTCTTCAATTTGAGATGTTCCCGAGCTCTCTAGAACGTTTCGTAACGGCACTATGCTCAAAACAAAATGAGGAAAAAAGGTAACGCTATGACATCTCTGCCAGCGAAGTTACGTGGACAAGCCGTGTGTGTCGTTTGAATGTGATGCAATGTTGCAAAAAATTATTTTTAACCTTGTCTTGACGTTATACAGAAAATGAAAAATGAAACACAGGTAAAACAACTTTAAATGTGTGCATCAAGGCACAATTAAAAACTCGATGAAACTAGTAAATCATGTCGTCCTATTGCCTGGATACTCAGAATTGGATGTTCGAATGTTTCTTGAGATGAGGTTTCTGCTGGGTCGTCCGTTGTTGCACCAAATATATTGGTGGATATATGAAAGGTATCATAAACATAAAGAATCTTTTATACATCTTTAGATGATAAATCTTTTTTTTTTTTTTCAAAAGTTATATTAAAAAATGGGATGATGCGCGGATAGAAAAAATATATATATGAGGTTCTTCTAGGTATTTTGAGATGAGGAAATGCAATTTTTGCACGGTTCTCGTACAGTTTTATGTATCATTTTAGGTGCTGCATATATATTTTTCATTTATATATATCTATATTTATTATTTATATATATCTATATCTATATATATTTATATATATATATATATCCCATATACGACACGTGCTGTTTAACAACAAAAAATAGAAGCGAAATAGTTCTAGACAAGACTAACCACGGTATTTTAAAAGCTATTCTTTATCGCAAAAGTGTATTTGAGCTGTGCTGTCATGTAATACAAACTTGTTTCAATCATCTGCGAATCCGATATACCAATCTTTATCATCATCAATCAATCCTCGCGTCGCATGCGGGATCCCATCATCTACATTCCATCCAAACTGTCCATTTTCATCTTCATCAGTGTCATTTGAAGCGCCGCGCGTCGCTCCTCTTGCAGTTTTACCCAGGAGACTACACTCGCTGTATTGAACACAATTTGCCGATCGATCTCGTTTGTCTGTAATCAATATGCGGTAACTTTGATACTTCTCTCGATTTTGTATATCACAAACTGGACCGGGCTTGTTTCGACCAGGATTTTTCTGAAGTCCAGTTCCTCCAGAACAAATCTCGATCCAGCTGGAGCCCTTCTTCAGTTCTGACCAGCTAGCATTACTTCCTTCCAATGTGAATAATATAGGATCACGTGCAGGAAAATCGTTCGCTGTTGTAAACTGAATTGCAGTCACTGTAGAACTTTTCTGAAGCATCACATAAAACCCAGTATTTAATCCAGTGCGATCAGTGCCAAAATTCAGATACTTTGTGTTTGTATTTCGGTCGATGGCATTCGATGGATTTTCATCAGGAGGATAGTGGATTTTCGGTTGACTCGTATGACTATCCATTGTCCTGAATGTATCATGAATTCCCCGTATTTGATCCCCAGGTTCAGTTAGGACTTGTGGAGGCGTCACTAAGCGAACAAAACGAAGGTAGTTTTCACATTTGAGGATTTCGTTAGCAAACTTTTCCCTCAAGATTGAACCATACACCAGGGTTCTACTAGGCTGTGCAACTATTGGGGACTAGATTGTGTTTAAGTATATACGTCAGTAGGTATACTCCGAATCTGCGGTTCTAACTTAGTTGGAAAGTGCCTAATTTCAGACTGAAGAAAAAAGTTGCGTTTCATCTGGTGATACTCGAAAAGATTCAAGTGAACTTGACACTGAAAGAATTAGAAGATCAGGTATCTGGCACAATTGGGTATGTGACTGTTTTACTTGAAATTTCTATCTGAACTTTCTGAATAGCTGTAATTTGAATAACACTTCATTTTATTCTACATACTGTTTTGTATCTACCTTTCTATCCCAGTAACGTTATTGACTGTGCAACGAGTAAAGTCTTTACTCAGGACATTTTGGTTATTTTGACAACTGCTGTAAAACAATGGATTCAATGTTTATAAAAACGTGACTACGAAACAAAACGATGTATGTAGAAAAAACGTAGTATCTCTTTCATCAAGCTGGTGTGAAACGACACGTGCTGTTTAAATCGAAGAAGTTCATCAAATTCATATGGAAAAATTATAATAAAAATAGTCTGATATCCTGTAGTACGAGATCCTTGATCTTCTACTTCTTGCAATGTCTTTGTATGTTGTTTTTCAGTTTTCAGATACTTTATCTAAATCTTTATTCACACTCAATAGAACCTAATAGTAGCCTCTCCTCAACCTTCTCGTAAGCCGATATTGATCTCAAAGTAGTTCGAGAATGGTCCAAGCAAATTGAGGATTCTGCGTTCGTCTGCGTTAAGTGACAACACATCCACTCACGCCCACACAGTGGTGAGTCAGAGGGACATTTGCCAAAGTATTTTTTTCCAGGATCCAATCGTTTGGGTAGATGCATGCATATGTGACCGATCTTTTCGTGAAATAGCAGTTCTCAAAGTTTTATAGAGCCTAGAAAAAGAGCCTCCCAAGGTTTGGGTTCAGAAATTAGCATAAATAAAATAGAAGTCAAGCCGCCCGACTATATAACAAAATATTTCACAAGCGAGCAAACAATATCGCAAAAAACTTGCTCACCTATGAACCTTAGGGAAAAGAAGAATCTTGTAATTCAATTTAAAATAGAGTAGAGAAAACAACGAATCTCTATGTCGAAAATCTACTGTTCCTTATACTAAAAATCCTACAAAGGGATCACATCTCATCAAACGCGTATTTTTACAGCAGATACATCTATATGTATCGTAATTATGGTAGTAGGGCTAAATCGTAAAACTTTCCCCATATTATTCTACAGGATTCTTCAAAACGCACGGTTTTGGTCAAAAATTCGGTTCAACATTTGCATATTAGGTTTGAAGAAGAAGTAAAGGAGTATTCTGATTCAGCGCGTCGAATTCCATCAGACGATACTTAAAAAGAGTCATTTTTGTAAAGGCCAGTTTTCGCCTTCCATATTACACTTTCAAGAAAAACTAAGGTGATATTTGGGACCCCCACATCGAACTACATCCAATGATATACACCTCAACATCTTTTTTGGAAAAAACCTTGTTTTTCCTTGAATACGATTTTCTAGGTGGTATACCACCATGTCTAGTCAAATGAAAGGCATTCCTAAGCAAAAAAACCACATGTTCGCTTCTTTAGGCGAAAGCTCTCCACTGTGCCACACCCACACCCACCCAATTTAAATTTTCAAAGATCAAGTCAAAATGACGCTGATTGCTCCTTTGTCGAAAGCTCAGTCAATCTGAAATTTTTACTCCAGTTTTCGTTTGATCACAAGTAAAGAATTTGACAACAGTTTTACAAAACACGAATAGTAATGAATGCGACAGTCTATAAATCGAGGAAAGTGAAGTTTACTCCCTAGACTGACAGACAGAATTGATCACTTTTTCGAGTGTCACAATCTTTCATGTGGAAAGGGCTCTACTTAGTGAGTTAAACGAATTCATTGTGCTTCGCATGATAAACAGTACGCTATTTACCGTTCGCCATTCCTTTGACTTGAATGTCTCGCATTTGATGGGAGTGGAGATGTTGCTTTGGCTCTTTTCTGGCATGATAACAATTTCCACAGAGGTCAAAATCGGGACATACCAAACACCTGTGACGGTGATCACCACGAACATGATCTGTTTTATTACACGAATCACACCTCCAGCCTAAAAATAAGTGAGATGTTTTATTACTTGATCATATTTGATGCGACATGGGTCTTTAATTATTATGATAGTTAAAGGTCCATTAGAAATACATACTACCGACATTATTGCTCATTTCACTCTGGTCTTCTGTTATTTCTTTTATAGCCACTGCGCCTTCAAAATACCGTGGGTTCGTCAAATAGTCGTATGGGATGTAACAATAGCCGTGATCTCCCTTGAAAGAGAAGACAGATTTGATCGTTCATCATTTAGTGCACACTTACCCAATCTGCACTCCACGAGTTCTTAACGATAAACATACGCCGTTGATCACTGTATCCAACAGCTAACATCGCATGACAACCGTGTGAGGCATTCGGCTGTTCTCCTGGACCTGGCATGCCTACTATACCGCCGTTACGGTCTGCTCGATGGAACGATGGACACAGTACGAGAGCAAAAACAAATGGATACCCGTCGGCTAAACAAGATCGCATGCTATCCAAATTGCAAGCGAGAGAAAAACATTGAATTGTTAAATATTTGTGTCCATTGTGAAAAGCTCGGTCAGGTGGACGTTGATTAAGGACTGACGGATTGAATGGCCACAGATTGCTTTTACACCCACCCCACTGTTTTAATGCGCTAAGAGTATCGTCGATGTAGGCGCCAGTATCGCTTATCTGGTGCGGACCAAAACTTTCATAACGACCATTATAATAAATGAATAAACGACTAACATCTGGATTTTTAAATCCATCTTTCTTCAGCAAGTATTCGTAGGCGTCTAGGAAAGGATTGAATGCCAACATAATTTTGAGTAATCAATCAATTCGGATGGAAGGCTCTTTTCCCTACCATGAAGAGACTTCCTAGAAAACTGAGCAGACTCGTCTATTTTTAGCGCTATTAGTTCTTTGCAATATGTAGATGGTATTGCTGATCTAGCCATAATTTATTCTTAAAACTATCGTTGGCGCATTGTAAGCGCAAGATCTTGTTGAGATAAAAGCCTCCGTATCTACCGAATGTTACCCAAGAAGTGAAAGGTTGATTAGTGATTAGTCTCTTCATGCGCGACTAAAACTTTCAATTGATTATTTTTTCACTTTTTCGTATTTTAATACGATGATTATTCGAATTCATTAGAAAATTTGGTGCTTGCTCCGCGCTGAACCAAATTGGATAAAAATTGGGCGCCAAATGCAAAATTTGTCGATGAATCCGACAGCGGGTTCCTTATAATTACATCTTCACTTCTTTTTTGGCGTCGACATAATCAACGTGGTTTTTGCCTAAATTTTATTTTTCTCATTGGCGCCTTTTTTTCAACCAATCTTGTCATCTCAGTCTTCTACATTGATCCTTAATGTGTTGCTAGAAATTTAAAAAATGTTTCAATTAAGTCGACCTTTTCAAATGTAATGATTTTCTAAAGAAAAAAATTCGACACCTGCATCGACATGGTGAAATAAAGAAACTCTGTCCAATTTTCTGCTCGAAAATTGTTAGAAGTTCGTTTTTAAAACATCGGACCTTCAGTCTTTCACGTTTTCCTAGGCGAATTTAAATAAAGAAGAAACAATTGTTTATTGCCTCGTTGTTTTCTTGCTATTTGAAAACAATTCCGAAAAACCGCACATAAAAAAGAAAAATAACAAGGTAACGCTTCTCTGTTATCGCTCGGTTCCTTAACTTTAAGAACCTACACCTGGCTAAACGCATGTGCTTTCGTGACTTTTTGAAAGCAAGACGAAGCTCACGCTTTCCTTCGGTCGACGCTTCGCAACAGAGAATCTCATGAATTCCTCTTAAGTATGCACCAGTATCGGTATACTGAATACGAAAATACTGAAGTTCGGTATTCACCGACACAGAAAAATACCCATGTTTTTCGAATTGGATTTTTTTTGATTTTTGACTTGAAATGAGATAGTTTAGCGTCCTGGCCATCTAGAAAGAATTAGAGACACAGAACAAGAGCCGTTTTTGCTTTCTAAAGCTAAAGTTTTCCTTTATTTCTATCTGCACGTGCTCAGGATACACAACTGAGTGTATTTTATATTCTGGCTCTGCATGACGCTAAATATCTCATTTCAAACGAAAACGTCTACGTCGAAAAAGTCGGTATTTTCGGTATCGGTATTCCAGTATGGATAACGGTACATATCTAATTTATCTGATCTAATGCAAAAAGTTCGAAACCGCATGCGACTTTTCTGAAAAAGCTTCAAAGATTACCAGAGCTCTGGAAGTATTTCTGGTCGATTCTTTTGTGCGAAATGAGTAAAGTATTTATATTATTTGTCTTTACTACTTGCTGACAAGCAACTCAGTATTGTAGTTTAACTACAATACTGTAATAAGTAGAGAGTAATACTCTCTCTGACTGTCTAGTTCGCTGTGCATTTCAATACTAGTGTCGAATTTTTTTCTCTAGAAAATCATTACATTTGAAAAGGTCGACTTAATTGAAACATTTTTTAAATTTCTAGCAACACATTCAGGATCAATGTAGAAGACTGAGATGACAACGCAGGTTTCAGCCAGTTTAGGAAAAAATGTATTTTACTGAACTTTCTGTGGAGAAGCTTGATGTAGAGTGACTGTGATTTGGTCAAGTTGTTTGTTAGATAACTACGCACATGAAATTTTTCATATTTGTCTAACTGTAGTGTGCTGGAGTAATGACTAAAGTCAACAGTACACACAAAAGACCTGTGTAGATAGTTATCAAACGGAAAAAGAAAAATAAGTGCATAAAACACATGTTTGCACAGTTTCTATCTTTTATTCTCAGGATTAATTTACCTAATGATAAAGCGATTCTGTTCGTGTAATGTTGGTTTATTGAGAGAATAAGGTAAAAAGTATATGAGGCGCTGTGCAGAATATTTATATATCAACATTATTTAACGTTTTAATATTTTTTTATAAAACTAAGTATACTTAATATGATTGACAAACATTTTCATAAAATCATTTTACATACTACGCGAGTTTTCGATTGGCCTGAGTCATATTAGCCTCCTGATGATACTTTGAAATATGGAAAGCTCGTGTTTTATGTAAAATCATTTTACGAAAATGTTTGTCAATGAGAATATCTAAACACTGGAAGCATACTGTAATAATTTATTTCTTATCTGGAAACATGATATCGAATAACCGTTGAAACATAGATGCATAGTACAAAGCTTTATTTTTCGTATTTTTTTAGTAGTCCTGAACGAATATGGATCGTTAGGGGTTTGTTTTTTGTTTTTATCAAAATGCGTTGGTTGGATACGCTAACGGTTTATTTCAAAGGATTTGTACTATTTGTTCTACTGGTACTACTCATTTATTTGATAAAACCTCAAGATTTCAGTATTATATTTGCTTACATAACAGCTAACAATTCTGATAGAATATGTGACTCTATCGATTGTTGTCTATTCGATGCTAAACGCGCGTTAGAAAGTATCGACGTTAAATGGTTCATCACATTCGGCACGGCTTTGATGTGGCATAGAAATAGAACGGTTGCGTCGAACGACATTGATAGTGGAATATTTATTAATGATTTGAACAACTCACTCGAACTCGTATCAACTATGACACAATATAATTTCTCTCTCCTATTCTCATATGGCAACATAACACACGGCCAGGAGTGGACCTTTTCATGTCCTACATCTAATCTACATTTTGACATATTCGTTTTCTATCCGGAAGACAACGATACTTACTGGTGTGCATCCTACAACGGGCTCTGTGATACCATGAAATACAAGAAATGTCGATGGCAGTTCTCCTCGTTTCGACCGGAACAAATTATTCTTCGTAATCAAACGTTTTACATAGTACCCACCAAATTCATTGAAGAACAATATGGTAAGGAAAAGTGGAAAACGACGATGGATTATGGATACCACGAATCTTTAAGCTTTTTACCTAATCTTATCAAAGAATAAGAGGGTATCTGGATGAAAGTTTTCATTATATTTCCTTAGTAAGTTGCACGTGGGCATTTTATTACAGATGCAGCATAATGCAATCAGCATATATAATATATCAATAACTGATGTGCTAACGATAGCAGATATAAATAGTCAGTCAATGAAACAATTATTTCCTTCCATTCAATAAAACGTCTTAATTTTATAATGTTTCAAGTAAACAATAGTAGGAAAATCAGACTGAACTAAAAACTTTCCATGATGAAATTCACATGTATTTGTGTAATAGCAAGTATCTGCTATACGCAGTTTTGTAGAGAAATGAATGGGGAATCTTTTGGTAAGAGCACGAACAGTCTACGACCCAAGAGAGAAGAGAAAAACAGAAGATAGATCGCAGTTTCTTCTGTTACATCGTTACTATCATTTTTTACAAAAGATGCTAACAAAAGTTGGTTGTGGTCTTTATGCATTATGTTCATCGATTATAAATCAAATAACGTTTATCAGGATCTGTATATTTACTATAAAAAGAAATATATAACATAAAAAGTAATCATCCTCGTTAAGCTTATTAGTTTAGAATATCTTATACATGTATTTTCATCATACATTTTTCATTATACATGTATTTTCGTGTGTAACGCTGAGGAGTGAGGGTGAGAGGTCAATTCATTTTTTTCTGTTGTACATCATACTAAATTTAGTAAAAGATGAAGTAAATATGTTGCTAAAAAGTTCTCATTAGAATGTGTTTATTAATAATGCACTTAACTGGTTCCATGAATTTTTTTATCGTCGATTAATTACTGATCCACGCTCAAAAGATGATGCCAGCGTACATACATGGCGTATTACGAGTTTAATAATATTTGCTAAAAAAATTGATGCTTTTTGACTTTTTTACGTTTTTAATGAAACACAGTATATTCAAAATTATAGAAAAGAATTTAAGTAAAATCATTTTACATACAAACAGCGAAAGAAGATAGTTATACTTATTAAATTGTTCTACAAATACCAGAAAATAATAAAATTTTCTAGCGTACGATTTTGCACGAGATGAACTCATTAAGATGACTAATGCCCATAATAAATTGAGACAGAATGATACAAAAACTATATTATATTTATTGCCATATCATATTTTTTATATTTGTCTCTCTTCTCTCTCAAAAGTCATTCGCCTGATGATGATACTGTGATAGTGTCGAAAGCTCGCTGTTTGTATGTAAAATGATTTTACTTAAATTCTTTT